GTGGTAATCTTACTCCAACATTATTAAGACTCTCAATTCATATTCCTCAAATCAAAATGATTTGTGCTGTTGGTTGTTGTTATCATAAATTAACAGAAGAAATAGATAATTGGAAAATAAATCCACTTGAAAAGAAACAGTTTTATGTTAATGAAAAACAATATGGTTTTCCTATGAGTGAATTTGTTAAAAAATCTATTCATTTCCATTTAGCACATTCTGAAATATCAACATTTGCTGATCCATTGAAAATGAGTAAAGATGATTTCATTAAAATGATGAAACAACAATCTTTTAAATCAGTATTTGAATATATCATGTATAAAACTCTTGGATCACAAGAAGATCATCCAACTGGTAAAACAAAGAATAGTAATTTTAAAGAATATTTTGAAACTGCTTTAATGAATATTCAAAAAAGAACTTCATTTAGTTATCGAGATAAAACTTATAATGAGAAATTAATGACTTTCATTCAAGAATATTTAAATAAAAAAGAACAATATTTGAATGTACAAAATATCTTTAATCAACTAACAATAAATGGAATCCTAATTGAACGAGCAGCATTTATTATCCTTGGTGCATTAATTGCACCAGTGTTAGAGTCATCAATTGTTGTTGATAGAGTTCTTTATCTCCAACAATATTGTAAAGAAGTGAGTTGTCAAAGAGTATTTGATTCTTCTATCTCACCAAGGTGTTTTGCTTTAATAGCAAAGAAGTAACTAGATTTCTGTTTTATATTTTCTTTGTATTTTATTCCTTCTTTTATAGTAACTTTTAAAAACAAAATTAGTACTTCAATGCATTTATTAATTGTATTATTATTTACCAAAACATTATATTTAGTAGTTTTATTTTAATAGGCATTTTACATATGCAAAAGACTAGATTTCTTCGAAACATTGATTATTTTTCTTTTAAGAAATTATTAAAATAACTAAGAATCTTTAAAACTATTTCACATAATTATTCTTGTCACGAAATAAACTATCTATCATTAATATAATAGTACTTATTTTGTATCAATGACATACCTAATAATTTAAACAATCTTTGTATATTGAATTAGATTAGATTATTCTAAAAATAAATAAATCTTGTTCTTCTTATTTTTCTGTTCAACAAAATCCATTTTTCTATTTGATATTTGGAATGTTATTAAAGTGTATGAATAACTGTTTTTTCAAATTCAGTATTGTTTAAATATTCAATTTCAAATAAATCAAATAATGAATTTATCATTAAGATAAATATGTTTTTGATTGAAGATGATGAATGATTAAGTTATTCATGAAAATAAATGTTCATTGATAATTCTGGTTCTTCTTAATGTTAATGTGAAAATGTTCTCTATTATAAATGAATATCTTGTAATTCTAAGATGATTAGTTCAATAAGAAATGTTTTTGTTTATATCATTTGAACATAATACATTTTTATTTCCAAATCAAAGAGAAATATAAATAAACTGTTTGGATTATGGAATGAATAAGTAATAAAGAACAAAATAGATATAATATACAACATTTGTTGTTTTATAAATCAAATAGAACATTTATTGTTTCATTAATCACAGTCAATGTATTAATTCATTGTTTCAGTGCATTTCAACGCATTAAATTATTTTAATTTTCATCCTGTATTTCATTTAAATTATTTATTGTAATTAACGAAAGTTAAATATGAAATGATGTAAACATGTTATTAAATTAATTTTATTATCTCATTCTACTAACAAAATTAGTGAATTGTCCCCATGCATTTCC